AGATTTTTTCATGCCTCCTGACCAAACTTATTATTTACTTGTCAAATKTACCCTAATTTGTTTTTGGCCATGYAGTTTCAAGACAATGTGWGATGGCAACAGAKGAGCACCTGAGTTATCTCCAATAAATAAATGTTGAGAAGGAAACCTTATGGCAAACAGATTTTTCCTATTACTTGATTAGTTTCCCTGAAAGTTTGAGATAAAGGTGTTTTGTGTGGGGTTTTTGTTTTGGATTTTTTTGGTGTGGGCTTATTTTGTTGTGGTTTTTTTGTTTTTTTGTTTTTTTGTTTTTAATTTATTTAAAAGCTTTTTTTTTAATTTATTTAAAAGCTTTTAGAAAAGAGTGATGTCAGGAAAAGAAAAGACTTTGCAAATAGAAAACTCAATGGTAATACAGCCTAGAAGGGTGAAATGTAAACTTCCTGACTGAGCTGAATRCAATTTATAAATTTTGTATAGCTGGATCTAAACTTTTTGCCGGAGTTGTTTTAAAATGTGTCTTCATAAACACTTCCCATGGAGATGTTCTTTGTAAAAATAAACGTTAATAACCAGCTGACAGAGAATTTATAGAACCCGGGTCTCCACTGCCTCTCAGCCCCAGGGGWTTATGGCACAGTAAACCCAAATTTATACAAAGAATGAAATATACAGTAGGGCAGAACAAAGGGAGTGGGGAATGGCTCTCACTCCTAAAATTAATATAAAATTTTCCTAAAATTAATATAGTGACATATTCCTGTTGCTTTCACTGAAGCAGATGCACAAAATTAAACACTTTTGGTGTTTGATTTTGGATCTCTGAGTGATCCAAATGAGTCTTTTTCTCATGAAAAATGCCCATCCATGACCAGGATCTGTGTACACAGGGTAACTTCAGCCCAGGTAGGAGTGGTGTTTCCTAAATCACCTGTCAGGAACGACTTAATTTCCATTCCCACTCATTTAAAGGGCTCTGCTGAGGCTGTCAGAGAAATGCTAATTATTATCAGCCACGGTGATCCCTTGGGGAATTGTGCTGGGATTGTGAAACCACGAAATTGCTGGAGTTTCTCTACAGTCAGGGATTAAAGTGATAAATTCTGTCCCCTTTCTGGTTTTTTTCCTTTCTCTGTTAGCTTGGGACACAGACAGTCCTGCTGTTGTTCAGGTGATGGGTTTGTGATTCATTGGTCCCATTTGTGTGGTTCTCAGCCCATTTTTGTTGAGAACTGGTGCTGATTTTAAGTTAAATCGTCRGCTTCATTAAAGAGCAAAACTTGAAAGTTCACATGATCAATTCCACGGAGTCAGGCAGAATTCATCTGGGAGAAATTCAGGGGAGCTAGGATAACATGAATATCTGAAAATCTGGACAAATTTTCCTAAATCTTTAGCACTCTGATGAAAAAGCTAAGTTTTCATTCAGAAGAGGAATTGAAATTGGCAGAATTGTGTGCTGCAGTTGATAAAATCTCCAGGATAGGAGATAATTTTAAACAAAGGCTTTTCTTTTAGGATAAATGCCCATGTCCTTCAAAAATCTCCCATGTTCCATTCTGATCTGAAGAAATTTATTTTCTTTTAAGACCTACAAGTTCTTTATTGTGATCAAACTAATTACATTTTTTTTGCTGGTACACGCTGGAAACATGAATGTTCCTTGAATTTATTTGATCCTTTATTGTATCTTAAACATATAATATCAAGGTGAAGAGAAGTTAAGTCTGTTTCCTATTGGTAAAATCTCATTAATTGCAGGTTTTTTCCTTGCTTGCAAATTCATAATTTGCACATCGAAGTTGTGTTTTCTGTCTGTGTGAAGTTAGGTCATCTCAGGCAAACAAATTCCTCAAATATGGAAAACTTCTCATCTCTTSCTTGCTTTGGTTCCTGTTTATATTTTTCAATGGCAAAAATAAGCTTTTTGGTGCTGATTTTAGCCCTTTATTGCTGTACTGAGAGGAGCTGCATCCTGTTTTCTCAGTGACACTGTCATGAATTATTAGACAAGTCAAACTTGTAGAATTTTCATTAGAGGTGATGATACAGAGRAGGAACGTGCACAGAGCTGAAGTTTTTTTCAATCTGAAAGGTGGATATGACAGACTGGAAGGTATTTCTTTTTAAAAGACTGACTTCTGTGTATCAAAATAAAATAATACAGAAGTATATTTTAATATATAACTGGATTGCTTATCTTTAAGTAGGTGACAGAAATTAATTTCTGTTGTTTCAGAGATCCTGATGTTGTATTTCCAGATAATTTTTTTTTTTTTATTTCCAGATAAATAAAAAATTTCCAGAAGGATGAATCYTGGCATTTTTCTGTATTAAAGTCRTCTTCTCCTTCCAGATCCCCAACAYTGTGGGGCTGCATTGRTTTAATTTCATCCTGRCTCTTCCAAACCAATGAAAGYMATTTTCAGTTTTCAGTTATTTTCTAGAATATCCTATTTCTTATTTTTTAGAATATCCTATCTTTTCCCTCAACCCACCGAACAATATCACCCTTCAAAATTACAAAAAAAAACCCCAAAACAACAAAAATCCCAAACCCAATGAGCAGGATTTTTTATTTAAAATCTTTAATCTTCTTAGCAAGTACAAATATTCCTTTAGTACTTGAATTATGATTCCCTTCTTGCTGTCTTACCAATCTCATTTCTTGCATTTACTCACCTGCAGGAAGTGTGTTATCTGTTGGGAATATTTTCTTTTCCTAATCAATGTTTGGTTTAGGAGGTTTAATTACAGTTTTTCATCCAACAGCGCTCTTGTCTGTATTTAAATTGCTACCATTCCTCTCAAAGGTATAACAGTCATTCATATTGAATTACATAATATAAAAGTAAGAAATTTAATTTCACGAGGAGTCAAGGAACTTTACTTCCTTAAAACATTGCTTAAATTTAGWCAGAAAATATTTTCAGAATGAACAGCTTAGGCTTGTCTCTCATTTTTCCAAAAGATTTTATGTTGAGCAATGAATAATATTTTGCTGAAGCTTTCTTTGGCTTTTGGTCAAGAGCTATAAATGAATTCATTAATGGGAATTATTTTTGGGCAGGAGTGGTGGGTGTGTGTTTAAAGTCTGGTGGTGATGCATGGTACTGTGAGAGTCAAGTGTATTCCATCTTCTCTTTAGCAGTTCTGAGAGTTTTGGCTAAAAAGAARGAAACAAACACAACAAAAAGCCCCAAGGCTGTGGTGATCAATCCTCACCCACAGTCTGCTGCTGTTTGAGAGATTGAATTCTGGGCTGCCTGAAAGAGAAAATTTTATTTTGGTATTATTAAAAGAATTTTACAATTATATGTATATTTAATTTTTTTTTAGAAAGAAAGGAAAAAATGTCTTTTTAGGCACAGAAGAATTATGTGTCTAAAGAGCAAAAAATTTTTGAGCACGATCACCATTGCACATTGCACAGATGAAAGCACAGAGACTTTTTTGACTTTTTTTTTTTTTATTGTATTAGGAAAATGCAGGTTTTGTATATGAGGTTCACCTCTAGTTTTTGGCCAAAGTATTGGATGTGGGAGGAGAACAGCAAAATAGGAAGGATGAGAGTTATGACAGTAAAATTGTCCAGGTTTGTTGTGTTCTTGACAGTGAACTGTTCTGTGTGTATTCACTGTGGAGACACCAACTTTGGACAGTGCTGAAATACATAAAATAATGTTTGTGCAAATGTTAGACACACACTGCACCAAAAAGGTAAAGAACAACTGTCACAAATGAATAATTTCCAACATTTAACGCTGAAAAAGTGTTCATGTCCAGTTAAAATTTAGCATGGAAACTCAGGCTGCTGTTTAACCCTTTCCAGCATTTATTGTGGGAATGTATCTTGTCTGTGCTGGACTTTGGAACTTTTTAATTACCTGGTGCCTGGGAAATGTGTCAGCTAAAACCTGCTGTCACCCTCAAACACCTCCCAGTCTGTGATGGAGCTGGTGAATATTTAATTAAATGTAGTTCATGCTGGTGAATATTTACTATTAAATGTTGAACATGTGCTTCACCCTGGGATCATCTGAATTCATTTTCTTGGCCAGAAACACACATTTATTTGAGAAACAGTGAAAATGCCACTTGTGTTCTCTTCCTGCTTTGTTTTAAGTACATGTGGATAACAATTGTGACAGGAATGGACAAATAGGACTCATTGTCATCTGCTTTCTGTGAAAACCTTCTGTTTTCAATCTCAAATTATGGTGTCTTTCATCCACGTAAGGATTAAACCTCCCTAAAACAGGAACGTAAGGAACAGGGAAGTTACTGTAAAAGCATCAGCCTCAGTCACCACATTATTATTTAATATATTTCGGCTGGAATCTGTGCTGTTCTGGRTATCGTTGTCTTGAAAATTATGGGTAATTAAAGATTTCAATTTGAAGGCAAACCAAATGAAAATGTGCTGCAGGATGTTGATAGCTGGAATAAAAATGTCTGCATAACTTCTGAATGCATTAATGGTTTTTTTTTTTTTTTTAATTTAATGGAGGATTTTAGCTTTAGGAAGCATCTGTTTGTCTTGACATTTGAGCTTTGAGTAGGTAATTGTCAAAGCAAAATGGGTTTTTTTGTTCAAGTTTAGATAAAGCGTATTTGATGAATTCATGTGGTAATTTAAATATGAACCAGGTATGAAATCACAATTTAGGCAGGTGAACTTGGGCAGAGCCTGCTCCACTCAGCCTCAGCAAATGAGGCAGTGAAAATCCAGGCAGCCTGTCCAGTTTGGGGCTGCTGATCTTTCTGCCCAAAGGCTACAAAAATGTACTGAGGGAAGATGATCTTTCTAGTTTAAATTCAGTCTTCTTGAACTTGCCTTTATGTCACAAACTTCTCCCAAATCTGAGCCCATCTTGTGGTGTAGAAACAAAGATCCTGCGACAAATAAAGATCTTTCTATCAAAGAGGGATTTTCACAAGAAAGAAACAAAAAAAGCAATATTTTAAGGCTTGTCTTGAAACATTTCACTTTAGATTTCTTTTTTTCCTTTTGGCAGCTCCAGAACGAAGAGATTCCTCCCTCCTGGGCAGCCCTGACATTGTCGACCCAGCTCCGAGGAGGAAGAGAAGACAGAGAGCAGCAAAACCTGCAGGAACAGGAGCTAAGGTGGCTGCTTTCGAGGCAGAGCAGCCTTCCCAGGAAAAGTAAGCAGAATTTAAATGTGTTTAAAATGTTTTTAGGTTCACAGACGCCGTGAGGTTTGTGGGATTCCAAACCCAACATGGCATGGACAACCCCACCACCCTGAGACTCTGCCTTTGGGGTTTCAGTGGAAATTACCCCTCAATTTCATCTTTTAACAGATTTTTCTGGAAATGAAATGTCCAGGGAGAAAAAATAGTTTGGTCCTAAAGAATTTGTAATGCTTAAATTATTTTAAAATGTTTTAAGGTATATTTTTTCTTCTTATGTCCATTTCAACTTCTTTTGACTTCAAGTATTCCACGTGTTGTAGGAACATTCTTATAGCACAGAGTTGCCTCAGAGCTGCAATTGATTGGTGGTATTTTCTTCAAAAACCTTTTTTCCCCCCCTAAATATATGGCAAATTACATTTGAAAATAGCTATTTTCCATTTTTATCCATAATATTCCATGGATTATAGACTCTTTAAACAGACATGGACACAAGTAGATTACAAAGACATTTCCCATGATTAGCAAAGATTTCTGTTTGAATCAGCAGGAGAATTATCTCACTTTGACGTAGAAGGTTGTGGCTGGATGCCAGATAGGAATGTTTGAATTTACAATCCTGTTTTATTAGTTAAAAATGGGATTTTTTTAAGAGTGCTATAGAAAGATGTGAGATTCTGCCTYTTTGTTCTTTTACACTCCAGTCTTTTACACTCCATTGCAATGAAAAATGCCCTTTTCCCATTACATTTGGTCATTTTGGTTTTGAAAATCTGCCTGTGTTTGCCTGAAATTCAGGTTCACTTTCCTTTTTAGCATTGATTATTGAAGGAAAACCTGTGGAAGCAAATTATTGCAAAGGAATACACAGAGGCCTTGGACGGAGTAGTTGCCAGTTTGTGAATATCTGAGTCCTGTGTGCAGGGGGAGCCCACCAAAAAGATACTGATAATTTTGTTTTAATTCTTCTAAATATGGCAAGTTTTAGAACAAGCAGCATTGTGGGTTTTTTTTACTGTGCATTTCTGCTATAATTACAGGTCAAGTCAGGGCTGAATTTGAAGAGTGGCTCTTCTTCTTGGCCATAATATAATTAGTTCTATTTTAATACTTGCAATATATGACATCCATCCTATTAGTCTGTATCTCCATTTTCCCTTTTGCACTTTCTGTGGCAGTGGCAATTCTTGGATTAGGTAAGGAAGGGAGGAAATACCCCCATTTACCTGAAATGTTACAAAAGCCGAACTGAAATAATTCCCACTTTTGCTGATTATTTTCCTCAGCACTGCTGAGGGGTTTTGAGCTTCRTCTGAAGTCTTTTGCCAGCTGCTAATCAAGTTTTCAGTCAACTTGCTGGGCTAATAATTTTCAATTCTCTTCAGCCTGTCAAAAGCAGGGAGATGTAGAATTAACACCGTGATCCAGTTCACAAATATAGGTGTTCTTTTGATGGAATTTTTTGATGATTTGTGCTGATGGAATGCCAGATCCTGCGTTGGTGCAAAGGGCTTTATCTTAAGCTGACAGCATGTTGGGGTCGTGCCCAAAATGTTTTCCAGTATTGTGTCACTGAGCAAAAAAAAAAAAAAAAAAAAAAAAAAAAAAATTAGAATTATTTAACCAAGCAAACCACTGGGGCGGCAGTGGGGGAAAGTTAACCTCGAAATTCCTTCACCTCTGGAAGGAATCCATCACAAACAGGGGAGATGTGCAGCCCCTGGGAGCGGGTCGTGGTTTTTGGGGATTGAGATTTCACCGGGTCCTCTCTGGTTTTTGTGCTCTCCTGCTCAGACCTGCAGCCAGGGCTGACTCCTTTAATGTAAACACAAATGAAATCGTCTCCCACAGTCCTTGCTTTGGCAAACAGAGCTGGTTTAGAATTATTCCCCATTTGGAATTTCTGGTGACATCACCTGTGCCCCGTGTCACATTCTCCAGGAGAGGAAAATGCTGCCACAATCCCACCAAGAACCTGATGCTGCTCTGGTTCTGTTGCACTGTGAGTTGTTGGTTCAAGATCCTAAAAAAAAAGGATTAAAAACACCTCTTTGGCTAAGGAAAGCATCCAAGCTTTTCTTTTCCCTTTGCCTTTCAGACTGTTTTTTGAAAAAAACATTYTTTTTCTTCCCAACACAGTTGGTGTTGCTACATGGGAAATTCTCTGTCTTAACTTTTTTATTTTCCTCATAGGCTTTACAATATGCTAAGAAAGTTGCATTTATCCTAAACTTAAGAGCATCTAAAGTAAATGCTAAGCCATCAAAAATTAAAAKATTCTATTTCTGCAAATATTTTGGATTTATGGATGTTGAGGCTAGTCGTGTGGCAATTCTCTGCTTCTTGGAATGAAAATATGTTCTTGGATATGASCAAAAAATACTCCGAAGAACGCAAATAAAAATCTGTTTTAAGCAGAAATTAGAGCAAAAGGAGYGCTGCCTTTGTGTGTGGGTGCAGTGGCAGGAAAAGGAGCTGAGTTGTATTTATCCATATAGACATMTAGTGTTACTGTGGCAATTTATTCAAGGGCTAAATCAACATTTTTAATGAAACTTGGCAGTGTGCTTTTTATAATRTTAAAGCTTAGTGGAAATAGCCATGAGAGCAGCAAAGAACTGAACTAGGATTTGTGGAACAACGTTGCTACATGGACTGCTTAATTATTTGCTGAAATAAAGATGTACTTTGGGATAAAGCGGAAATTTAGAATAATTAGTGGGTCAGCCAGCTTCCATGAGTGAGGTTTATCCAGCTCTCATGCAGGTTCTCAAATCTGAGATATCCAGTGAAAGGAAATTCTTCTTTGGGTAGAAAGATGTTACTTTTAGTTAATAACACTGACTTGTGGCTCCTCATTTACATATTTTAGAAATGTGCAGAGACAAAGAGTAGATCTTACTGTTCAAAACACAATCGAGCCAGGAAATAAAATAAAATTATTCTGATTCCAGTAAACGGTGATGGTCTTGGTTTCAGCTCTAACTCTGACTTAATATCTGGGAATTTGCTAAGGTGCAAGKCAGAGATAATATATTAAGTCAAGTTAAGATGCAAATTCTGCTTTTCACAATTTGCATTTCATAATTAGAGGGCAAAAAAAAAAATTAATAAGAGCATTCCCAATCCACAGTTATAAGTTATGCTTGTTGAGGCATTACCCAAATCTCTTCAGGGGCTGCATATGAAAGGCTTAGCTGTGTGGCCTGTCAGCCTGAATCCTGTCAATAATTGGATGTTTCTATAATATTTTCATTTTAAAAGTGTTGGTACATACTTGAGAGCAGATACTATCTGCTGAAGATTGCAAAGTTTTTTATGTAATTTTRAAAATCAAGCATGCTTGTTGAATATGACCTGCAGTCACAGTGGAACACAGATGGAGCCTCTGTAAATAAAATAAAAATAAATCAGGAAAAAACTTCAATTTCTAGTCCAACTTACATCTTTCTGCTTTGATTAATCGAAATTGGGATGGGGGGGTTTAATGAGTTAAGAAAAACAAAACTTTTTCTCCCTGTCTTTTTAATTTTTTGCTAATAAAGCATCTTTTACTGTTCTCATTCACACATGTGTTTCCTAGGAGAAAGGCTTTGCTGGGTAATTCTCAAAATTTCTGTAAGTTATTCTGCATATTTCAAAATATAATCCATTCCTGCTGCTCGAGGGTATTCATAATTTCTTTGCTATTTAATGCATAGCTACTGTTGAGTGGATGTACAATTACAGAAGTGGTTTGGGGGAAGGCATCTTAAACACAGGAAAAACATCATTACGGATGCAAATATGCTGGATTCTCCTGAGAATAAGACTAGAAAAAAATTTTTATAAAACTTTCTTGCAAAATAAATGTTCCATAATTCTGAGAAGCAAGTGTTAAGAGATACTCTTAATTCAATTAAGTATTATTTCCTTGTCCTTTGTTTTTTGTGAAGAATTGGCTGTTTGCACCAAGCACCGTGACTCTGACTTGTTAGTTGTTGTGCATGTCAAAAATTTCAGTTTCAAAGGTCYAGTTTAGTACATTTGATGTCACTATTGCTGTCTTTTGGGTTTTTTATAAATTGAAATTTGACCTTTGCTGGCTTGATACCTCTTGTTTGAGTAATGCAATATAGTGGCTGTCAGAATCAGGGTTACATTTAAAATAAAATCACTTCATGCCTTTGGCTTTGCTGAAATTTTGAGGTGCAGGTCAATTCGATGGGATCTTTGCCACCAGTATTTAAAACCTTCCTTTTTTACACATAAACCCTGTTTTTTCAGACAGTTCAAAGGGTTCAATGTGGTTTTTTTTGAGCTCTGAGAGACACCCAAGCAAATCAAAGGAACACAATCAGGTTCCCAGGTATTTGAAAGTCTTAGGAGCTGCCAGGGGGAGGTTTGTGCCACCTGCATCGCCACCCCTTGCTCCATCTGAGGCCAAACAGGGAATGTAATTTTTACTTTAAACACGATTGTTACGGTGCTCACTCTCAGTGTTTGTTCCTGACTTCAGGGCCTGATTAAACTTAGCCATGTGTGTAATTGTGGGTAGAMTGAGCTGCTGCATAGTTTTTGCTTGTTAATGATAAATGTGGATTTATTTTTTTTTTGTTTTTACCCCCAGTTTTCATGCTCTGCTCCCTTTCTCTACCTTCAAAAGGGTTTTTTTTTTTCGAATCTTCGCATGTATATATAATTTATTTTGAGAGAAACCCTTTAGCATTATATCCCAATGCTGCAATAAGCTGGACTTGCCTTTCTTTTGATAACCTCCCACCCCTCTGAAAGCACTCAGAGCCTGTGGTGAGCCCAAGGCTCCCTGGGGATCCTCTCTCTGCATTTCTCTGATTTATTGCTCGCGGTCCACATTTTTGAAGTCCTAATCCAAGGTTTGTGGATTTTTTT